GCGGACATAACAACATCCAGGGGCAAAACCTTCCAAGCTTCGGTTAAAATAGAAGAATTTTCGCATCGGCCCCACTTACACGTAGTTTGAATGGAGGACCAGTAAAGTTTGTAGTTGTTGGTAACTCGAAGAAATCGGCAGACGGAAGGCAGCAGTCTTGACCGCACATGATACGAAATATTTGTATCAGGTCAGCACTACAATAAACGAGCCAAGGCCGAATATATGGCGAGGCGACTTCTCTCAAATGAGAGCGGAGGCATCGTAAATAGACTGGGGTCTTTTCTTGGGGGATGTCACTGAGGCCTGGAATAAACTTGAGGCGCGGTTGTTGTATCTTACGCAAAGTCATCGTCCAATATCAGTGCCCAAGACATCCAACCGACCTCAGTGGCTGACAGGAGATCTAAAACGATAGATCAATAAGAAAGGAAAGCTTTGGAAGAAGTTTTGCAGAACAAACCCTAACGAAGCTTTCGAGGAATAAAAATCCAGCGCAATACGGTAAAAAAAATTGGTTTTCAAAAGACGACGGGACTTTGAGAGTGTCAGGAGTTTAGCCTGACCAAATGCTAGCAATATTGGAGGCTTTCCCGAGGCGCCGTGCTTGCCAAGTGTCTTTGTGTGTTTGCTCTGACCGCATACACACGTTGCAATGACGAGGCCCTTCGGGCCTAAAATATAAAATTTATTATTTATTTATAACTTCAAAGGCTTCACCGGAGATACGGATGCCCATGCATGCAAGCGCGTGCCCAAGTGGTCGCCGTTCCTGAGGGCCAACTGTTCCTGTGACCTACCCCAATGCGGCCAATCAGGCCACAAGAGAACGCGCAGACAAAAATGCGAAGTTGCTATACAACACGATTCCTGTTATGAAAAATGATGAAGGTCTCGAGTTCTCTGACTGTAAAAACAAAGCTGTACATTTTCTGAATTCTTTTGTTCGGTTTTCATCACAGAAAGTGCCTTCGACACAATTAGTAACGAGATCGCGGGAGTGCCATATATTGAGTACATTCTGTTTGAAGAAGAAACACTTTTTCGAGAACTAAAACACTTGAAGGAACGTAAATTGCCTGGCCCAAATGAGATTCCTGCGAAATTGCTCGAAGAACTTGCTAGACAGCTGGCTAAACCGCTACTTATGATGTTCCAGCAACCGTTCGATACTGGAATACTTCCCTCAGATTGGAAAACAGCACACATTACACCGCTTTACAAAAGCGGTAGTCGTGCGGTTGCGAACAAATACAGACCCGTGAGTCTGACCTCCATATGCTGCAAAGTAACGGAGAAGATCAACAAAAGGAATTGGTGACATATTGTGAATTTCACGATCCCTTGTTCAATGCGCAGTATGGCTTTCTTAGGGGT